ATAGACGTAGCTTTCTATCGCTCCCTGCCGGTCTGGCGTTCAAAGAAGATGGAATGTCAAACCGGACGGGAGCAATAAGAGGCGCACTTGTTTGCAGGCTAAGTGTATCTCTAGGAGTGTTAGGGGCGACTGAATCATTTTGATCCCACACTGGTACAAGATATGACCAAGCCTGTTCAGTGTTTTCAGTATTCCATAAACAAATGATCAGCAGCCTTCCACTTTTCCCTCATCTAGGGATAGACACTTACGATGCCAAGCAAAAAGGCGGCAAAACGTTATCAAAAACTAGCTGGTCTCGAGATTTGATTTAAACCAAATTATTTGAAATAATTTCGTTGTGATTGCTTCCTTTCATCAGAACCTGAAACTAAAAACAAAGCTACAATTGAGCCCTTCACTATGCCTGACGTTACGGCCATAACCGAAGCCGAGTCGACGCCATCGGGAGAACCAGCGAGTGAACCCGACAGCTCGACGACTTCCGAACCATCAACCACACCTGAACCAATGACAGAGCCTGAACCAGTGACAGAGCCCGAACCGACTACTATATTTACAGACTTTTGGCCATAGATTCTGAGTTGTTTTTTGCTTTGCTATATCTCAGGTGCATTAGAAAGTCCTGCGGCAAATCATGGGGTACATGATTTTCCTGATTTGTTTCTGATTGTTTGATATTTGTATTAATTTTGTTTGCTCAGCGTGTTTTAACAGTTCATAATATTAAGTAACTCATTGTAAAAAAAAGGTATACAAAAGTTAGATATGTGGCTAGCTTTAATGTGATATTTGGATAGATTTAATAAAAGACATTAAACTGAACTTTTTTCAGACCATTCTTCTGCAACGTTTGGTTGTATTGCTAATTACTGTAACATTGTCAACTCAAAATCTCATACAATCGTACGCACGATGCTTTCAGAAAATTAGGCCATACAGTCGACACACGCGAGAGTTCAAGTTCCTGCGGCAAGTTCTGGGGACACGTTCCTTCGTGTAAACCCATTTTACAAAACATTCTTTTTGCAGGGACCAAAGTAGTCCTACTTTTTGTACCGCGGATTCAAACTGGTCTGCCGAATTGCAGGGAGAAGTCACGGGGAGTTGTCCACCCACCCAACCCCCCCAAAAGTATGGCGGTCCCTGCGTGTGAAAAGTTCGTGGGACAAGTATCAATGAGCGACCAAATTAAAACAAACTAAAAATAACACCAAAGACGTCCAAATATTTTGGTCTTTCCCTGTGAAAAACGTCGTCTCGTGTAAACACTACGAGGGACTACAATCTTGGACAGAATAAAATGGAACAATTACCACCCTCCCCCCCCCCCCACCCCCAAAGCAATGATAAAGGCGCGAAGGAGCAAGAAAGCCATTTTGGCATCATTGAAATGGGGGGGAGGGGTGGTCCAGATGTTCCATTTATTTTGTCCAAGATTGT